CTGGTGAGGACCATGGGCTGCACGAAGGTTGAATTATATGTTCATCCAACATTTTTTTTATTTGTTGGTTAATCTCGTTTTTATGTATATGAGGATACCTATAAGTTTTTGTATGGACGGGTATTTCATCTGACGTTCTGATTTCATTTTTAACCTGATTCGTGAAGGTTAACTTATCATCGGGTTTATGAAAAATCTCCGGAAACGCCCGTACTACATTCTGTAATGCATTTAATTCCTCTTTATTTAAATGCTGAGTACGTAAAAATTCTATTGGATTATTATCATATTCATGTGGGTAAAACGACGTTACTTGTTCTATATTAAATGTCTCAAAAGCTTCTTCATTATAAATAAAACTTGCTTCTGCTAGGTCATCTATATGCGTAGTAAGAACAAAAGGTTTATCTGTTAGATTATGCACTTCTAACAAAGCTGTTCCATTTATAACCTTAGCTATTGTTTCTGGTATCATGTATTTATCCGTTTTCACTTGAGGTATTAAAATCTCAGTATTTTCAAGGATGTCTGTATTAAAATGACAAAGTTGAATAGTTTTTGCTGAAATTTCTAAATTTTGGGTATCAAAGTCTGTTCTAAATTGAAATGGAATTGTTATTTCTTCATTACTAAGGCACATATTTGTAAAGTCAATATTTAAATTATTTTCTTGTAAAGTTTTAATTCCTATAATACCGTCAAAATAATCATAAAAATTATACATTATCATGTCAATATCCTGATCAATATTAAATTCATGTAAAATTGGAATTCTCACTTTACCATGGGCTTTTCTTGTTCCCATACATGTAGTAAGTTTATTTAAAGAGTTCACTATGAAATCTGGGAAGTATTCTTCCGCTATTGAAGGTCTTATTAATGAAGCATAACTACCTGTGTCTATTAAAAGCTTACAAGGTGGATCGAAAGTTTTAATAAAAGGTAGTTGATTGACTTGGTATGCATTTAAAGTCAATGCTGATTGTTGGATTCCAAGGCTAGTGTCTGAAAATTTTCATCAGGGCTTTCTTGGTAATCTTGACTTATTTGATCGTCATTTATTTCTGAGTTTTCGGGTATTTCTCCGAATTCTGAACTTTCATAGTTCTCAGAAGTTTCGTCTGGTTCTTGTAATTGAATTCCATATATATTATTTATTTCCTCAATGGTGTATTTTGAAGGACCTGCATTGGGATCTGGTCGAAAATAATTTGATTGTTGGGGTTGAAAACCTCTTGAAAAATTTCGTCTATTAATTTGGGAATCTTGTCTTCTTGGTTGAATAGATACACCAGACATAGGTGTCGGTTTTGTTAAGGGAAGGTTATTGTTTGGTTTAAAAACATTTGTTTTGTTGTAATTTTTACCAAACGTACCCGAACTAGTAGGGAATTTATGGGTTATTGCTTTTGTCTGTAAGTTTATTGGTTGTGAAGGAAATTGTGGCTTCACATGGAAATACGGGTTTTGTTGTCTTTGTTGTTGTTGTGTATTGTTTTGTTGGTGTTGAAATGTTTGGTTATTTTTTGTCTTAAAATTCGAAAAGGAATTATTTTGATTTTTGTTAAATTTCATATGATTCTCAGCCATCTGATAGTTTAGTACAAAAGATGTTGCTGCGTCTAATTTTATAGGATTCTGAACCATTAAGATTGTTCTAAGCTCAACTGGTGAATTTGTTATCAAATTCTGTACTGCTGTAACTTCATTTTGAGCTACAAGACAAGAATATTTGCAACTGCTAACAAATTACTGTCACACATTATTTTTGAAGTAATTCTGTGATTAAGAGCTTTCAATCTTTCTAAATATTCATAAATTGATTCCTTTTGGTTTCTTGATGCATACATTAATTCTTGAATCAAATTTTGACGAGAATAAGGATCTCCATATTTAATTCTTAGAGCTCCTTTAATATCTAACCATGATTTTAAATCTGGACGTGTCATCAAAAAATTTCCAGCATCATTGATAAGCTTTGATTTTATCGCAGTTATTACATATTCTTTTTGGGCAGGATCCCCTACATAATAAGTGTGGTAAAATTCAGCAATATTATATATCGATATTGAATATCGATAATTAACAAATTCTTTTATTTCTTAGTCCATTTCCCAATAGGTTATGGGACCAGTGTAAGTAAAATATTCATAAGTGTTTGGTTCCATAATACCGTTTATATACATAATAAAACCAGAAAAACAAAATTTGATATCAAATCCTTTTAACCCAATTTAGCCTAACGCAACTTAACCCAACTTAACCCAATTTAACCCAATTTAGCCTAACCCAACTTAACCCAACTTAATCCAACTTAACCCAACCTAACCCAACTTAACCCAACTTACTTAACCCAACTTAACCCGACTTAACCCAATTTAACCCAATTTAGCCTAACCCAACTTAACCCAACTTAACTTAACCCAATTTAACCTAACCTAACTAAATCCAACTTAACCCATCTTAACCCAATTTAACCCAATTCAGCCTAACCCAACTTTCCCCTACTTAACCCAACTTAACCCAACTTAACCCAACTTAACCGAACTTAACCCAATTTGTTAGGCTAAATTGGGTTAAATTGGTTCAAGTTGGGTTAAGTTGGGTTAAGTTGGGTTAAGTTGGGTTAAGTTGGGTAAGGCTAAATTGGGTTAAATTGGGCTAAGTTGGGTTAGGCTAAATTGGGTTAAATTGTCCCACACGTAGAACCACCTTGTCCTGGACCAGCAGAAAATCCAAAGAAAATGACATTTCAAAGCCTGCTTAATAAAAATATGATTTTTCGTTACTTGCAGCATTAAAAAGTGGAATTTTTTGGCAAAAAATTAAGGAAATTCAAAGTCTCGTACGTCAAATCGGTTTTCCCAATCAAAAAGGCCCTGGAAAAGTTGAAAATTCGAGGAAAAAATGGATAAATGTGTCATTCGTCTGTCAAAAATGGCAAGTGATATTGAAAGCGACGTTGCCACATCTCAAATTAAAAAAAAATAATGGTTTTTCTGCTCGAATTTTATTAAAAAGCTGTTAAATAATTGAATAATAATAAATAATGATTTTAAATATTGAAATTCTTGCTTTTAGTTCAACTGCAATAAAAATTACAAATTCCAAGGCCTACTTGGATAAAGTTCGAGTAGACGTTCGGAGCTGCCGTATTGTTTTTTTATCCTTGTTCTTCTTATCAAATGGAAAATAGATGGAAGATGCTCCAAGCGCTCAGTGTTTCAAGACGAACTCACGGTTGATAGTCATATTGCTTGATAGTGATGAGTAAGACAAAAAAGGAGATAATTTAAGCCAAAAGCTCCACTTTATAAAAAAAATTACATAGACAATTTTGAGGCTAACCCAGGGTCAAATATACGCTAACTTGCCGTGAGAGCGCGGGTTAACTTTTTCCTAGAATACCTTTCGAGTTAGCAGTTGACCCTGGATGCATAAACACTTGTAAGCTTGTAACAACTTTGACCCAAGGTTATCCGTAACTTATGAGGTAACCCTCTATTGATAAACCCGGCCCTAAATCGATTTTATTACAATTTTCTGTGATTTTTGTTCCAAAATGGCGCTGCTTTAACTTTCTGTAAAACTGTCTCAATTTCATTACAGTTTTCTGTAGTTTTAGTTCAATATGGCACTACTTCAATTTCCTGTAAAAGTGTCTCAATTTCAAATAAAACTCACTTTTGTCACATTGTGCTATTAGGCAATCTATTCCAATATGGCTTTTCAGGTTAAATTGTGGTTACGTAAAAAAAGTATTTTTGTTCAGAGCCCTTAGCAGCTTTCAAGTATGAGAGTGTGACGCTCGGAGCTACTCGGAGTGTTGAGCTCCCGAGCTGTACTTACGGTCGTACACTGGAAAGCCAAATAAAATTTTGAAACTATACGCGGCGCCACGCCACCACTTGTCAGCTGTCACATCTGTGGGTGGCTATCTATATTTATTTCTTGGTTATTTCAGATTTTATATGTTTTCTTGCCCTCGGGATCGAACATAATTTTAATTTTCTTCCATTTTTGATCAATAAATAAACAAACAGATATTTATATTTTTAAATTTTGACACATTTGACACGTGACATCTGTGGTGTTTGAAGCTCACTGAAAATGGGATATGCTTCAGGAGGCAGGAGGAAGATAAGACAGGCACCTCACGCACTGATACTGAAACGGTACAAATTTAGTGCGGGGCGCTTCTGTGATGCTCCACAGCGGATAATTTGACGTTCAATACACGCATGAAACGTCAAATTGTCAACGCAATGTCAAAAAAATGCGAATTTCGCAGTTATGAGTACTAGGCTTTAGGCAATTCAATCCATCTGTCAGATAGGAAAATTCAATATGATGTGGCGGCCAAGCAAGTTTGTTTTGAATGTGTTTTTATGCGCATTTTAAATTATTTTGCTTAGAGTTTTGCTTGCAACTTTGATTTGGATTATTTAATAAAATATTTGTTGACTAGGTACCTAAACTAATAAATCGGGCAGAATCTAGATATTTTTTTGTGTTTCTTGGCCCATGTGTGGCCGCCACGCCATCTTGAAAGTCACGTGGTTTGAATTGCCTAATTCTATCAGTAACCTAAATGTAAACAACACGGTGTCTGATCAGTTCATTGGTTTGACCTGAACTTCCATAGTGAATTTTGTTTGACAGGTCATGAGATTGCCTTATTGATGTTATTACAGTATTCTGTAATTCTATCTAATTCAATATGGCGCTCAATAATGGCCGTTTGCACCCAAGGATGATACACACTACTACTACAGGATGGCCTATCCTCATAGGGCCTGAACAAATCCTTCTCAATCCAAATTACCAGTTGTGACGTAGGCAGCATGTTATTTCTCGCCTTGATTTAGGCTAGTCAAATAGCTGACGACTTAGTTCTGACGTCAAAAAAGATGACACTCCAATATGGCGGCGATTACCAAAAACGAGGCCGATAAGCAATCCTGTAAATTTGTATCATGTGTATCATATTATCGTTGGTTTGCACCCACCATTTTTTCAAACGGTCGGTGCAAACGGCCATAAGACTCACTAATTTCAAATAAAACTCACAAATTAACAAAAACAACTTAATATATTACAATCAAAAACGTCCAAATGGACAAATATTATCAACCTCCTTACACATTTCCCCTTTTTTACTCAAAACTTCGTCGGTTTGCGACAAAATCTCTTGCCAAGACTTGTCAATATCCTCGTACTGAGTAAACCTGCTACAAACAACAAACCTAAACAACAACTGGCTTTTATAATAATAAGGCATTATAAAAATGTTTTTCCTTTTGGCAATTTTCTCTAAAATCACTTGCGTTAAAGCTTCATCTCTTAATAATTTAAAGCAAACAACCCCCAAACTGCTTATGACAACTTCAAATCTCTCGTCAGCATTAACCAGGGCCTCAAAATGCTTGGCCAAACTAACATGATGCCGCACATGCTTCTGAATACCATCCACCCCATAAATCCTAATAACAAACCATAACTTCAACGCTCTAAATCTTCTAACATTTGGAATTTGCCAACGCTCAATCTCGGGCACAACTGATTGACTCAATGTGGATTTTTTTTCAAAAGCTTCTTCAACATATTTACAATTCCTGAACCACATTGCTGAGCAATCTCCATTGACCAGCATCCACTTGTGCGGATTAAAATTGAATGAGTCTACATATTCAATCCCTTTGAGCAAGTATCGGTATTCCGGACAAGCCAATGCTGTTCCAGCGTAGGCCGCGTCCACATGCAGCCACATGCCTTGCTTCAAACAAATTTCCCCTAATTCCTCTACATTGTCCATTGCGCAAGTGCCAGTTGTTCCTAGTGACGCAACCACGCAAAACGGTATCAAGCCTTCGGCCAAATCTTTGCTTACAGCTTCGTTTAAGGCTCGGCCTCTGAGGCTGCCTTCTGAGTCGGTGGGCAGGAGCCTCATTTTTACTGAAGCGATTAGGCCTGATTTTTCTACTGAGGAGTTTGATTCTTTTGAGGTGTAAGCGACTAGTTTGCCGCGGATTTCTGATTTGGTCGTTCGGGGGTCGAGGCGTTTGAGTTGCTTGATTTTTTTGTCGGACGCCGATAGGAGGCCTACTAGGGTGGAATCACTTGCAGCGTTCTGGAATTGATAAAAAGGAATTAGGTGGTGCATTTCTTATAGAGTGAAAAAAAAATATTTAAGGTTATGTTGATAAAATTAGGCGATTTGACGTCAATTTATTAATATTCGATATGGCGGTGCGGGCATAACAAATTTGACAATTGAACGGCTGGTCGTTTGCAATTTGAGTCGGATTTGAATGTAAACGTACCTCTATGGCATTTTATTTCTGAGTCTCAGATTTACTTCAAGTTTGCTTTATTTAATAGAAAGATCTTAATTAATATATAAGGGGTGTCCCCAAGGTTCCTAAAGGTAATAAAGTTGTCTGGTAATGACGCATCTGGAGTTTTGCATTATGTTGAGGCACCAATGAAGTAGTAAGAAGGTTTGGAATGGGCTTTGCGTCATTCAAATGATACCAAAATGAGATAGCGCTAATAAGGGCACAAAATTTATTGAATCTCCCTCTCTCTGTTCTCTCACTTTAATGTTGGTCGCAAATATACGTATTGAGTAGAACACGGGGCCTTTCCAAACCTTCTTACTACTTCATTCTATGGCACCCGAGATGACGTCATTAAAATTATCAGGCCACCTATAGAATTTTAATACCTATTTGGAAGTATCAGTCGTTCTAGTAAGTTAATGTATGTCGCTTCTCAAACACACAAATAAAATTAGGTTAGAAATTTCCTATTTGTACATGAAATTGACGTATTAGCAATCGACGTTCGTTTTTGTTGATAATTTTTTGTTTCAGTTGATTCGTGATTGATAAATAAAGATGGGTTTATTTTAAATGGGTATTACAAAAGCTATACCTCTCTCAAACATCCTTGGGGTGTCCCTCTGTTGCGATATTGGTCACGATTGATTTCCCAAGAGAATAAACGTTGAAAAATTTTGAAAATTTGGCAACATAGCAACATACCGAAAATTTTAAATGTCAATTTACCTATTTTAATTCAAGGTTGATACACACTACTACTACTAGCCTATCATCATAAGGCAGGCCTGTATGCAATAAATTTATATAAGTAAAACACATGACAACCATCAAAACGTTCGTCTATAATACTTTTGAAGCTATTTTCTGAACTCTCCAAACTTGAGAACTCTTAAAAGTACGTTTACATGCAATTCTCAAATGTGAATTAAATGTAAATATAGTCGAATTCATTATGTCCGTGACGCCATATTGAATTAAGAGAACGTCAAATCGCTCTATAGGACACCCTGTATATAAAATTTGTCATGCACAGTTAAACTTAGGTTTAGGATTACTTATAAAATGTCTATAATTTTGCGTGGAATCTAAAAATAAAATAATATACAGGGTGTCTGATCAAAAATAGGCAAGTTGACCGTTACTTCCTGTACAACGGAAGTGCCACCATCTTGAAAATATTTCATCCTATAGTATCAAGATGTTTGACATGTCAGGCTTCAGTATTGCCAATTGGCAACAAGTAATTTAAATTTTACATGGCCTCCTAGGATTTGTAACTTATTGATTTTCAGTGTTGCCAATTATAAATTTACATGCCCTTTCTGACTGATTGACCCAAAATAGCGAGAAGTGATAACATTTGTCATGTTGTCATGTGTCCCAGTTTCAATGTTCACGATTGTTACTGAATTGCGGTGTTGTCAATTATTGTAAATTTTTGGCTTCAAGATATTTAGCTCCAGTATCACCAACTGAAAGCCAGTTTTAGGTGGCCTACTAGGATATATGTATAGATAACTTTCAGTGTTAACAATAAGACATTTACCAATTTCTCTTCTAATCGAATTGATGCAAACTAAAAAAAAGTTTTTGTTGATAAAATTAGATGATTTGACGTTCTGTCAAATCCTTGATATTCAATATGGCACCGTGGGCATTACAAACTTGACATTCGTAATTGGAATTAAGTGACAGTTGAACGACTGTTTGCGATTTGAATTGGAATTGAATGTAAACGTACCTTTATGAATACACGTTGGAAGATTTTGAGAATTTGGCAACATAGCAATGTCGATAGGGGCTATACCGGAAGTTTTAAATGTCAATTTTTCTATTGTAATTGACGTTTCGTTTACTCAATATGGCGTCGTGGGCATAACTATAGGCGAGTTTAAAAATGACATCGCAGATGCGACAGATTTTTTTTACACGTGACTTCAAATTGATTTTTATAAGTTAAACAACTGTCAAAATTTTCATCTATATGCTCTTGGAGTTATTTTCCAAACTCGGCCAATCTTGAGAACCGACAATTCCTATCCAAATTGCAATCAATTTGATTTAAAAGTAAAGGTACCTTCACGGTTTTCAAGTTTATTATGCCCACGGCGCCATATTGAAAAAACAAAACGTCAAATCGCCCTATAGAACATACGTCACTCTAATGGAATGTATTGCAATTTAAATTGGAATTGAATTGAATGTAAAGGTACTTTTACGGTTTGCTTGCCTGGAAATATTTTTAAATGTGCCTCGAAAAATGAACATTGGAAAATTTCGAAAATTTGGCAACATGGCAATGTGACGTTTGGTTTATTCAATATGGCGACGTTGAGAACAGTACGTAAGTTTACATTAAATTTCCATTAAAATTGCGTCAAGTTTGTTATGTCCACGGCGCCATATTGAATAAACAAGAACATCAAAACGCCCTTTACGACACCCTGTATGTAAAATCTGTCTTAAACGTATATATAGATAATAGCCATAGGATATTACATACTTATAAAATGTCTATAATCTTTGCGTTTTTATTCTCATCAAATTTTACCGATGGAACCTAAAGTCGTTTGAAAGAGGTAGGTTGCCTGATAACTTTTATGACGTCATCTTGATGTCTAAACATAATGCAAATCTTCCTGATAACGTCATTCGTTTACTATTACCAGACAACCTATTAACATAAAGGACCTTGGACGGAACCACCATTCTGCGTCGGTCATTGTCATTTTTCATTCACTAAACAAGGATAGCTAACTCATTGGTAAAGTCACTGGCTGAAATAAAAACGAGGGAAATTTTGCGTAAAATCTAAAAATAAAATAATATACAGGTGTGACATTTAAAATAAGCAAGTTGATGTGCCACTATCTTAGGATTTTTTTATTTTTATTCTTTTTATAATTTTTCTTGAAAAATAAACATCGTTTTGAAATTTTGAAAATTTGGCAACATAGCAAAGCCGATGGGGGTCATCCGGGTAGAATTTAGAATTTGAAGGGGTGTAAGTCAAAGATGATACACATTCAGTGTTGCCAGATCTCACGATTATTCGTAAGATTACACGATTTTGGTCAGAATTTCACGATCTCACGAATGAGGTAGCATGAATTCTCTCTGTAGTAATACAAATCAATAATCAAATATAAGGTAATCGGAAATAATCGAAATAAAAATCTAAAATCGGCATATACAAAAACAATCAGCAGGCTAACTTGAATTTTGTATCCCAAAATGGCGGCGTGCGCAGATGAGATGGGCGTTAAATCTCATCATTGTTTTGCCATTTAAAGATAGGCTGTATCCTCGAATGGCGGCGTGCGCAGAAGAGATGCGCGTGAGAGTTAACCTGCTGTTTGTTTTTGTATATCCTGTGCTAATAGAACTGTTTATTGAGCTGAAAGTTTCTGCGAAGTCCACGAAACCCCACTATTTGTGACGTCAGCTGCAGACCTCAACTCTTGGCAGAAAATGCATTATCTGAGTTCAAAAAAACGAATTCATAAACGTTGAAATCGCCTTTTCCTAATGTAAAACTCCCAATAAAATTAACTCACAAGCACAGCTTGAATCGCAAGCCATCCATCGAGGTCTGCGGGTGACGTTACTACTATCAGTTGCTGATAGTAGTGACGTCACTCGCAGACCAGTTCCGACTCGAGAATTGGCGGACGTACGCTTTTTTAAGATAAGCAATCCTGCGGATAATGAAAACGAGGTTCAGCTTTCAGAGAAACCTGCTAAAAAACGCAAAAAACAAGGATTCAAGATTTAATAATAAAATTTCAATATCTTATGGATGTAAAATCATGTCTACTCTATCAAAAATCTATAGAAGACCATTGTGCATTATTTTCTTACAAGCAATTTTAGGTCTCACGATTTTTCTTTATCGATTCTCACGAATTTTTTTTATTTCATCTGGCAACACTGTACACATTACCATTGCTCACTACTACTACAGGATGGCCTATCTTTACAAGGCATGTGTGTAACAAATCCCCCCCGCCAAACAATCAATTGTGACGTAAGTAGGCTGTTTAAACAGCTGACGACTTAGTTATGACGTCGGCAATGGTTGAAAACCAATATAGCGGCGATTACCAAAAACGAGGCCGATAAGCACTCCTTAGAGTGTGTATTCTCCTTAGGTGTTAGTGACATTGAAATCTGTCAGCTCCGTAGCTGATTGGTTGAATTTTTAATATTTTTCGTTTAATTTGAAGAACCAGAAGTTTTAATCTTTTTTTAATTCACTTATTTTAAATATTTCTCTGTAAAAATATCATTTTTTTGGAAAAAATCCGAAATTACAAGTCTGAAATCTGTTACCTAGCCAAAATTTGACTTTCAGTGTTGCCAATTGTAAATTTTCAGTATCAAGATATTTGACATGTCAGGTTTTAGTGTTGGCAATTGAAAGCAAATTATTAAAGTTTTACATTTTGCCTACTAAAATCAAGGATATTACACACTGCTACTACAGGAAAGTTTATCCTTATAAGGCCTGTGTAATCCAAATCTCGAGTCCCCCAACATGCTAAAGCACCAGTGATGACGTAATGATGCTACACCAATATGGCTGCGATCACCAAAAATGAGGCCGATTAGCAATCCTTAGTAGTGTGTACTATGTGTATACTTAAATATCTAAATTATCGATATTGTTGCCAACTGTAGAATTACTATTTAAAAGACGTTTGACGTAGCCTACTAGAATTTGTAACTTATTGAATTGCATTGTCGCCAATTGTAAATTTTTAGAACCAAGATATTTAGCATGTTAAGTTCTAGTGTTGTCAATTTATTAACAGCAAGTTATTCAAATTTTACATGGCCTACTAGGATATCTTTACTTTCAGTGTTGCCAATAAGACATTTACTACTTTTTTTTCTTCTAGAATTGCCAACGGAATAAAAAAAAACGATTTGCGAGGATTAATTGCATTTTTAGAATTCATCGTTGAGTTTGAAAAAATCAAAACATAACTTGACATATTTCAATATCACTAACGTCTCCTCAAGATGACGTCACTTCGAGTTATACCGGAAGTTTCGATGTCAATATGCTTACTTTAAATGGGACAGTGACACCCGATACATAAAATTTATCATAAACGGTTGAACTCAGGTTATAGAATCTAAAAATAAAATAATATATATATACAGGGTGTTTCATCAAAAAAAAAAAAAAAAGCTGACGCCTAATTTCGGTATAACGGAAGTGTCACAATCTTGGAAATGTTTTATCCGGATGGCCTCTATTGACATTGCTAGGTTGCCAAGTTTCAAAAATTATATATTTGGGACATATTAAATCAAAGTAGGACTTTTTTGATCCAAATTAGTGTGAAAATTCTCACCTGTATCACGCCACCTCCAGGTCCGTCGGAACAATTCAAAAACTCTTCGGGTAATCCCAGAATTTTGGCGAGCCAATCCATGACTCGTACTTCGAGTTCGACGATCGCCGGACTCGATTCCCAGTCGGTACCGACAGCTCCAATTCCCGCCATAAAAAGTTCACCAATAATCGCCGGATAACTTTGAGCCGTCGGAAAGTAGGCGTGGAAATAAGGCGAGTGCCAATGCGTCAGTCCGGGTTTTATGGATTCGTCCAGATCGGTCATTAGTTTGGTCCAGTGTTCAGGTTGTTCCGGAGCTCTTTTGGGCAGTTGCTGGCTCAGGTAGCCAGGCTCGACATTTGGTAGGACTGCTCTATATAGAAAAATTAACTATTAAAATCAGAGCTGGGCAGGGCTTGAGGGCTTTGTGCTTGTAAAAGTGCTTGAAGCACTTTGAGGACTTGAAAGCCCTGTGCTTCAAGCCCTTTTATATATTTGTAATTGGGGCTTGCAAAGTCAATTACATCAGAAAAGTGCTTGGTAATTTGTAATTGAAAAAAAGTAATTCAAGCCCTTTCAATGAGCTTCAATTACTTTTAGAGGACTTGAAGCACTTTGAAAGGGCTTGAAGCACTTTGAAAGAGCTTGAAGCACTTTGAAAGGGCTTGAAGCCCTTTGAAAGGGCTTGAAGCACTTTGAAAGGGCTTCAAGCACTTTAAAAGAGCTTGAAGCACTTTGAAAGGAATTTGAATTGACCATCATTTAACCTATCCCCCACCAAAAAATTTTGGATCGATGTGTTTTGTGGCTTAATTTGTTTTCTATTATTTGAACTAGGACCCTCCAATTGCTTTTCTTTATTAATAATGGAGGTTTTGGGTTTGAGCTTAGAATTGAATTTTAAAAAAATTAATGGACTGATTGTTTAAATAAATAATTAATTTATATAAGGTACCCTATTTAACTTTATCACTGGAATTTTTTTCACTTTTCCTCAATAAACAATTTGAAAACCTCAAAATTAAATTACCATTACCATTACTACTCAAAAAATAAAATAAAATACTACTGCTACTTTGTAAAATTTAAAGTTCATTTCTATTTCTACTATACTAATTCAACTGATGAGTGTATGCGCAGTAGTTTTTGCAACTTTGAGAATTGTATCACAAATTCAAAGTACTTTAGGCACATTTCAAGAGCTTCAAGCCCTTTTGAAGAGCTTCAAGCACTTTTGGAGAGCTTCAAGCACTTTTGAGGAGCTTCAAGCACTTTTGAAGAGCTTCAAGCACTTTTGAAGAGCTTCAAGCACATTTAAAGAGCTTCAAGCACATTCAAATAGCTTCAAGCAGATTTAAAGAGCTTCAAGCACATTTAAGGAGCTTCAAGCACATTTAAAGAGCTTCAAGCACATTTAAAGAGCTTCAAAGCACTTTTTAAGGCACCCCAAGCACTTTTGAAAAGGGCTTGAAGCACAAGCCCTTTTCAAATCACTTTGAGGGCTTTGTGCTTGCCAAGCCCAAAGCACTTTGAGGGCTTTGTGCTTGTGAAGCACTTTTGAAAATAAAAAGGAATTTGTGCTTGGAATTAAAAGCACTTTGAGAAAGGGCTTAGGGCTTAGTGCTTCAAGCCCTTTCAGTGAGAGCTTTGCCCAGCTCTGATTAAAATACACTTATATGATGAGTGAATGTTTTACTTACACATCTCGAATATTTTCACAATAATCTGCAATATAATCAATGGAAGCGCCCGCAAACTTTTTAAATTCATCGATATTCATCTTACAATTTCGTTTGACCGAATGTTGGGTACCCGAAACTGTTCCGGGTATTCCAACGTCACTTTCTCCCATTTCGTTGATTAACACGCAAATTGCGGTGGTGACATAATCAACCTGTTTTCGTGTGTTGCGAGAGAGGTCGGTGTCATAATTTTTCGGACGTAAGAGCCCACATTCTGGGTCACTGGACCGCATAAAGAAAGCACGCACGGATTTTTTGTTTGTTTGAATCGGTGATTTATTACCGTAACGATTTGCGTCATTGACACGATGGCGAAGGCATACCTTGAATAAAATAATTTTTTGAGGATTTTAAATGCAATTGACAACATTGTGTATTTACGTTGTCAAATTGCTCGTGTATTATTTGGTACATTTAGGGCGGGTATTATAAAACTGCTTTGACAGTTAACTTGAAGTTAACTTTTTGAATTACATGTATTTTCAGAAGTTAACTTTAAGTTAACTCTCAAAGTAGTTTTATAACACCCGCCCTTAGATAGATAAGATTATCTTTGAGCTTGTTTGGGAGATTTCAAATGAAAGAAACTACAATAGTTTAAATTATCCGCAATATGCACCATTGACACAATGGCGAAAGCGCACGTTAATTAATTCAATTTTTTAAGGATTTAAATGCAATTGACAACACTGTGTTTAATATAACATTGTCAAATCACTTGTGTACATGATTTGTTAAACACTGTTATACAAAGCGTCATTCAGTTTTCTTTGAAGTTAAAAATTTGAAAATCGGATGAAATGGTAATACCGCCATATTGAATTCTAGAAAGCACCTTCTTATACCGCCATTTTGAAAAGAATACAACTTGTGATATATCAGGGTTCTATAAAAATTCCTTGGCTTAGGTCCATTTCCGGAACATTATTTCAATCAATCCCGCGCCTTCACGACAAATATCTGTGAATCTGGGATACTCAGTAATACCGGCCCGAAGGGCCGGAGTTATATGCGAGCCCGAAGGGCCGGAGTTATATGCGAGCCCGAAGGGCCGGAGTTATATGCGAGCCCGAAGGGCCGGAACTATACGCGAGCCCGAAGGGCTAGAGTTATTTTAATCGCGGGGCCTAGTTTATAATTCTATTGGTCAGCGGATAATTTAGAGCTAATTAAAAACCGGGAGTATTTAAAATGCGATTTTTAGCGTCCGATCAAAGAGTCGGGAATATTCAAAAACTTTAGTTTTATCAAATTGGCTTTGGAATGTTGGTTTTCTTAAGATTTTTACTTTTTTCAAAAAACGGAGGTTTTTGCAAACATATACTACTTTATCATTGTCTTTGTCTTAACTCACTATAATCAATAAGGAAACCTTGTAATGTCATTTTCATTAAAATTAAACTAAAAACAAGTTTCCTATGATTTATTTGGGGAATTTTAATTATTAAAATCATTATTAATTAATTATTAAATTGAATTTTAAACAAAAAACCCTTTTAAAATGTTATTTATGTTTTTCGAAATGAGATGTGGCAACGTTGCTTTTAGTTGGCCATTTTGAAGTGATGCCTTGTAATTTTTTGCCAGTTTTTCCCCGAATTTTTCACTTTTCCGGGGCTTTTCAATGGAAAAAGGCGATTTAACATACGAGGCTTTGAGTTTTCTTCAATTTCTAGCAAAAATGTCCAGTTTTAAAATGACATAGATAACAAAATCCCATTTAAAATGGTTTTTTTGAAAGTTTTGATGTGGCAACACCGCTTGTACCAACTTCAAATAGGTTTTGTAATAAATGTCATTTGCCAGTTTTGACAGTCGACAATTTTTAATTGACGTGTTCACATTTCTATCCAGTTTTTCCTCGAATTTTCCGCTTTTCCAAGCCGTTTTCAGTCAAGGAAACCGATTTGAAATACGATGCTTTGAATTTCCTACATTTTGTGCTAAAAATTCCCAGTTTTCCAATGGGGTAAGTGACAAAAACTCAAATTTCATTAAGTAGGCTTTGGAATGTCATTTTTAGAGGTTTTTCTTTGAATTTGTCCGCTTTTCCAGCGCTTTTCTGGTCGGAAAAACCGATTTAAAGTACGAGACTTTGAGTTTTCTTCATTTTCCACCAAAAATTTCCAGTGTTTTAACGGAGTAAGTGAGAAAAACTTTAGTTTTATCAAGTAGGTTTTGGAATGTCATTTTCGTGTTTTTTTTTTGGAATTTTTATTTAAGGTTTCTGGGGTCCGGGGATCGTTTTCAATCACTTTTTTTTCTCGAAATTCGCAAAATTAAAAAAAAAACTTTTTTGACGTTGACAGCTGTAAATTTTTTTTGAAACAAATCGATAGTTAGCGTCGCAAAACTGCCTTGTACCGGGGTTTGATTTTCGTAGCTGTTATAGTAGAGTGGGGAAAAAGTCGAACATGTGTCAAATTTGACACGTGACATTTGTCGATATTGCCAAAGTGTCGTGCGACAAAAGTTCCATCCGAACGAACCCGTTCATTGTTAACTGATTCTTAATACTCCGGCCCTTCGGGCCGTAATCTTTGAAACAAAAAGACGTCATTTTGTATCGATTGTCAAAAAAAACTCAAGGTTTGAAATTTCAATTTTTTGACGTTTGTTGTATCATGAGCAGTGTTGCCATATGTTTTTCTTTCAAATCTCGAGCTCGAAGGGCCGAGATTATAGATTATTTTAAAGCCAATCAAGAGCCGGGAATAAAAAAAAATTCGAATCCCCAAACCAATCAGGAGCCGGGAAAATTCAAAAATTCGAATTCCAAACCCGACGGGAAATTGAATTTTTTATACCAACTGTTGCTACATGTTGTTACATAAATCTCACCCTAAAACCCACTAAAAAACGACCTCTGTTTTTTGGAAAAAACAAAAGAATTTTTATTTTGAGATTGACAGCTGTCAAAATTTTAATGGGCATATAGATTTAGCCTCGGCGAATACGTAGGAAGTACCCAAGTACCATTTTTTTTTTTTTAACATATGTCAAAAAAGACGTTCGGCGTTGCCAGGCGGTTGGTTTTTGACATATATCGATGAAACTTCTTATTTTAGGATTTTCAGAGCCTGGGGATCATTTTCTGACATTTGTTTTTTGAAAAAAAGAAAAGGTAAACATTTTTGACATTGACAGTCAAAATTAAAAAAAAAACTTACATGGGCATATAGATTTAGCCTCGGCGAATACGTAAAAAGTAGCCAAACAGGGCCAATTTTTTGACGTTTGTTGTATTATAAGCAGTGTTGCCATATGTTTTTTTTCGAATCTCGATTCTGGAAGGCTGAAGTTATCTCAATTATGAGCTCAAAGGGCCGAGGTTATACGAGTCCGAAGGGCCGGAATCATGCGAACCCGAAGGGCCGGAGTTATACGAACCCGACAGGCCGGAGTTATTTTAATCATGAGCCCGAAGGTCCGAGGTTATACGAGCCCGAAGGGCCGGAATTATACGAACCCGTTCATTGTTAACTGATTTTAATACTTCGGCTTTTCGGATCGTCATCTTTGAAACAAAAAGACGCCATTTTATATCGACTGTCAAAAAAAACCAAGGCCTACTTTGATATTTCAATTTTTTGACGTTTGTTGTATCATGAGCAGCGTTGCCATATGTTTTTATCAAATCTCGATTTATAGGTTATTTTAAACCCAATCATTGACATTTCTGAAAAATATTTGTTTTAAAATTCCCAAATATCCTTTGGAATCCCCAAAAATCTATTAAAATCTCAGAATTCCATAATTTAGTGGAATTTCGGTAGAATAATCATCTAAATGAATTACATGGAGGAATTTTAAACAATTACATGAAATTACACCGAAATTCCCAACATGAAATTTCAGTTTTCACTGAATTTTAGTAATGCCGAGGAATTTCCATCTAAAAACATGGAATTTCGGTGATATTCCGAAAAATTACCAGTAATAACATGAAATTTCAATATATTTCGATGAATTTTTAAGAAATTACTTGAAACTTCAATAATATTCCCAGAAATTCCTGGCTATTAAAAGAGAATTTCAGTGAAATTCCGAAAAATTCTTATGAAAATAAATTAAATTTTGAAAATTCCTTGAAGTTTCATTGGACTTTCGAGAAATTTTTGATTATGAAAGTGGATATTCTCATAAAATTTTAGTGAATTCCGAGAAATTTTTAAAAAATTACATGAAATGTCAATGAGATTCCAAAGAATTTTATGAAATTCCAGGATATTTCAGTGGTAAAATTTTGAGGAATTTTAGTAGATTTAAAAAAAAAATATGGAATTTTGAAATTGAAATCTTAATGGAATTCCGAGGAATTTCATGAAATCCTATACTGTAATTAGCCTCCTCACTAGAAATAGTCACGAGCCGCCACTGAAGTTACCCATAACCAGGCAAACTAGGTATTAATTTTAGGAACCTTGGTCTTGAATAACGATTTCGTTGTCACCCGGTAGATTGTAATTTGTTGAAATGTGACACAAATGACAGATAGTAGATTCCATGGCCTTCTTTGATGATTCGGAATAGTCGTAAAGGCTTTGGAATAGTATATCTTCTTGTTTGGTACCATCGTCACTAAAAGTAACTGGGACAGCATCACATTAGCTCTTGAATTTTATTGTCAAATATTTGTCACTAAAACTATGAATATAATTAAATAATCAAACGAACTTACCTAAGTGAAGTTCGATTATAATTATACGTAGCGTTTTCTTCTTCAGATGAAATAAGAACAACATGTAGATGTTTAAAGTATAGGCGAGTCGCATCAACAACTACCTTATTTAATTCAAATAAATAGGTACATAAATGTTAACCATATATATAACTAGACACAAAATAATATAATGACAAACTAATGTAATTAGCTCTTTAGCCGTCTGGTAACTGACGACTTAAGGTAAATGGAATATAATAATATTCATGTTATCAACTAAAAACTTACTTTGTTAGAGGTAACTTTAAAACAGTCTTTGCAAAAAGAGAATTGTCATTTAAGGGTCTATCATAAAATCTCGCAAAAGTACTTGACTCTCTTGACCAAGCAGTAAAAACACTAGTTTCTACCCCACTTCGGCCAAGAGTGGTCTTTATCCAACGACTTATTGTTTGGCTTGAAGCTTCACTAAATGGTTTCTTAAACGTTAACACCAGTCTTTTCTTGTCAACTGGTCTAATCGCCTCAGTCTTACTAAGGTATGACTCAAGTGTTTTAACTGGACAAATTGCTGGGGGTTAGGCACTAATAAGATCGGTTGTACTCTACCAAGACCTGAAGTTTTGAGCTTGGTTTGAATCTTAATTTCCATACCCAACTTATTTCTTACAATATTTTCAACTTCAATAGCTGCTAAAGTTTGAACTCGGTGGGCAGTTATAAGAGAGAGCAAGGTAACTAATTTATAAGATAGAAGTTCCAGAGATAGAGTTTCATTGGGATATAAACTACCAAGAAAACCTAAAACTATTGCAGGATCCCACACTGCAGAATACTTTGGCAAAGATGGCCTTAAGTTAGCAACACCTTTAAAAAAACGTTTAATGCGAAAATCTGCAGCCAAGTCTGGACACAATTCTAGCGCTAATGCAACTATTTAGGGTTCCATATGATACACCCCTGTCAAATTCCTTCTCCAAAAATTTAAGTGTATGCTGAAAAGGATTCAAATTTTGTTCTATGCAGAAAGACCACCATTGGAGCTAACGAGGGTGTGATGTATTGTGGGTTGCATAGTAGTAGGTAATTAAAGCCTTGTCTTTTTGAGGCTTTGAAATTGTGATCAGATAGCATAAAGTAGAGGTACTACATGTTGTTCTTATTTCATCTGAAGAAGGAAACGCAAGTATAATTAGTACCTGCCTCAACTCACTGTCTGCCGCGTTGAGAGGCAGCCTCGCGGTGAGCCATGCTTAGTCGGTTTTTTGGTCGTGCTCAAAGAAACCTCGTAGTGCGGCATTTCCCAAGTTTGTATGTGTTTGCTGATTATGAGTGACATTGTTGTTGCCTCAGAGCGAGTCGATGAATGACGGCTCGCGTTTAGCTTCTACTACCACTTCAAAAGTAGTGCGAGGCCGCTCGCAGTGCGGCAGCCTCGCAAAGTCCGTACGCGGCTTAACAGCTTCATCACGTGATATAACACTGCACTAAATACACGAACACCGCACTAGCACTGCACTAAAATCCCATTTCAAACTCAACTCCCGAATAGTGTATTGTGGAACAAACAATTTGGCAACATCACTCTGACTGGACTTTCAAAAAAATGGAGTTGGCTACAGTCAATATTGACATTTTTAGAAATTATATCAATATCGACCAAAAAATATTTATTAAAATCTTGTAAAAACAAACATTCAGAATATAAAATAGGTTTTAAAATAGATATATAAACGTCTCTACAAATAAGTCTACAATGGCGGCGGAGGTCCGGCAAATTTCTTGGTCAGCTGCACAATCCTTTCAGCTTCTCTTACTCCGCTCACCCTAGCACCGTGCACCGTTGAATGGTAACCTGAAAATGTCAGATTTTAAAACTTGATAGTCAATTTCCATGCCCAAAAATAATAAACACTACTACACAGGATTGCTTATCGGCCTCGGTTTTGAGAATGTGTAGCACCATTGACAACGTCATCAACTACTGAGCCAACATTGCCAAATAAGCAAAAACATTCCTACCTGCAGATGTAGCCTCGCCGGCAAACAACAAAATGGGCGGCACCGGATCGCACGACCCCGGCACCGGACAGCTCAAGTCGCACTGATGTCCGACGTTTGACGTGACGTTCATGTACGAGTACGCTCCGCAAAAGTACGGATCGCTCGCCCATTTCGAACGTAGAATCGTGCACGGATACGGCAACGATGCGTCGCCGGTGAATTGACGTAAAACGCGCGTGATGCCTTCAGCTACTTCCTCGTCGCTGGCTTGTTCCATGACGACCGCTTCCGGACCGCAAATGAATGCGCACAGCACGTGACGGCTGCCTTCAACTTCTTCCACTGACACCAAGCCTGGAAAAAGTGTCAATATTTTCTGTTCTAGAGTAGAATTCCAATACCTTTAGTCCAATCATTTCTGTGTGACAACTCGTCAGGTGACCAAGCAAACTTAATTCCACCTTCGGACCAAACCCAAAACGGTTTTTCGTAATCCAAAAATATCTTATCAATGTTGCCGTAACCGAGACACTTAATGGCGTCCATTTTGTTGGCGGGCAAGGCCGGGCAAAACATTTTCTCGGCGTGTTCTTTCAGCACGCCCAACGACACGGTGATGACGACATAGTCGGCACAGTACTCTTCGCCGTCGCAGCACTGGACCACCGCCCTTGGCCCGCCTTTTTTGTGACCTTGAACCGAACCCCAACGAATCAAACCGACCGGTTTGCCGAATTTCACGCTACATTCGGGTAGGTCTTTGAGTAGGGGCGATAAAACACCTAGAAATTGACAACACAATACAACGTTGCCGAATTGTCTATAGATAAACGTCTTACCAACAAATCCCAAAGGAATTTGTACACTGCCGCCAGGAATCGAAATGTAACTGCCGAAATTGTCGGCACTGACTCGACTCAAATCTTCGCCGGCCAAAAAGCGCACGCGTTGCGACAAACCGTACAAAATGCGCGACACCTCGTAGCGTTGCTCTTCGGCGAACTTTTGCAACTCTTGCTGGATCCTCAGACCTAAAAACGGTTGTGTCAATTGTCAATTGTCATTGTCGAATTCTTACTTAGAAAGTTCAGCAACGAGCCGTGCTCTTTGCCGCAGCCCATCGTGAAAAGACTGGCGGCCTCTCGTTTGATTTGCGCGAACACGTGATAAGCCATCATGGCGGTCGCTTGGTCAATGGCACGACCGTCACTGGTCAGATATAATCTAAAAAAAAAAAAATTAGTCCATGCCAATGTCTAGTGACGTAGGTAATCGTAATTATACCCTTTAGAAAAATCTATTCTTTTCAATGGTGTTTTTAGTAGCCCTTCCTGAGCGGCCAAAGTGTATACAGGGTTGCCGATTGAAGCGCCGTGAATCCATTGACAGCCCATTTCCGCTACCACGTCGCCCAGCCAACAGGAATGGATTCTACCTCCAGGTCTGATAACAGAGAAAGACCAATCAGATAAGGAGTGATTTTAGCTTGGCAAGATTATCAAATAATAAGAAACATAGTACTCGGAGCAAAGTGAAACGAAATCCCCTAGTTCTGTAACGGTTTATTTTTTTGTGTGTGTATAGATATGCGTTATGTCTCACCTTTCTGTGGCTTCTAGAACAGTAAATTTGTTCAATCCGCACTGAGACAAACGTTGAGCGACACTCAATCCGGCAATTCCGGCACCGATTATCACGATCGACGGTTCCGGTCGGCACGGATCAACCATGTTGTCGGTTATCGTACACTGTTTAAAAGTGCCTTTAGTTTTGGGCTCTTTGCATTTCGTGACTTTTTTGGCCGAGAATTTTCTCAGGATCCACGTTATCGTTGGACCGAAGCTGCAAATAAACGAATGAGATTTCGAGGTTAGAAATTAGGGTAACGTACCGGCCGTTTTTGCAAAACAGGACGTTTCGAATCGTTCCCAGGGCGCGCGCTTGCATTTTAACACTGAAAATTTTGATTTCGTGACTTTATTTTTGCTGAAAACGTTGACGTTTGGTGAATGATGGGACATTTGACGGTTCAGGTGGACATTTTGACTGGTACCAGAGTCTTTTTTGTACCAGGATAATGATTAGAATCAAATTTTCGCGATGAACTACTTCCATGATTTGATGAAGAGCTGGTTTCTCAATAGCAGGTTACCTCCGGGTTAAACTAACTCCAGGGTAAACATTGCAAATTTACACGTTAACCCTGGAGTTAAAACCAACCCGGGGGTGACTCTCTATTGAGAAACCGGCCCGAACACAAACGCTTTCGCGAAAAACTCATGACGTCATATTAAACGTAGTTTGCCGGAAGCATGGACGCAACTTCAAGTCAGCGTTCAAACTTAAGACGTCACAAATGAACTATTGTCGCGAAAATTCGGTTCAGGTTTCGAAAAAAACACCCAGTAGAACCTCCTGAAACGATAAAAAGAAAGATAGAAAATCTGTAAGACAGAGAAATAAGATAAAATATGGCAACAACTTTTTGAAGTGAAAACTTCTTTAGGCAAGTCGAGTTTAGCCAAGCGAGAAAGAGAAACAGTCAGTAGTACAAAAGAGAGGGAGAAAGATATAGCTCGATTAGGATTCAATCGAGACTCCTTGAACAAATTTCGGCGACTTTGCGGCGCCGCGAAACGTTAATTGCTTTTATAATAAGTTGTCTAGTAATAGTTAACAGATGACGTCATCAGGTGGTTCTTATTTTTTATGTTTAGGCATACATATGACGTCATAAGAGTTTGGCAACTTTGATCCATACCACAAATGCCAGGATTCAATATGGCGGCAAATGTCAAGTATCTGTAATGTTTGTTTATTCAATTCAAAAAACTCCGAAAAGTATCTTTAAATTTCCATTTGAAATTCAAATTATATAAGATGCTGACGTCATTATCCATTGATTTCTGTTGGTCGCTTCCTTGCCTTGTTGCCATGTTGTTATTGTCCCTAATAGCACAAAAATATTTTGAAAAACGTCCTTGATAACATTTCCAATAATGTCATTTAAAATACCATGATGAAACATCTATTGGACGTTTTTCTCTTGTGAGAATGTCACAACTTCAAACGTCATGAAGATGTCGTTTTAGACGATTTTTTTATATCGTCTTCAAACGCCATTGTAGATAAAATCTTACATTTTTCCAAAAAGATAAAATGTTGTATTTTACTCTTCAAACACGGTCCGATCGTTGTAAATGGGTATTTTTGCTTGATGAGTTGAAATTTCCGGATTCCGGATAATTGCCAACTTCATAGTGACCCCCATAAGCGACGCTACTGAACAATCTTCAAATGTTGGTTACAATCAAGAAGAATACACACTCTAAGGAGTGCTTATCGGCCTCGTTTCTGGTAATCGCCGCCATATTGGTGTGCAACCATTGCCGACGTCATCAGCTGAATTTATATTATATTATTTAATTTTGATTAACATAATAGGCAAAGAGAAAAATGAAGATGAAAACGAAATCTAAAAAAGAGTTGTTTAAAAATGTTAATATATGTAGTAAAACTAAAGTCTGTTTTTTTTTAAAGATAAAAGTCAAAATGACATTATGTTGGCAATACCATGTAAAATTGTCAATGCTTTCAAATTTTTTATGTAGAAAAGGCTTGTGTTACCAACATAGTTACTAAATTTTTGACTTGGGGAATTATCTCAGCCTTTAAGTATTCATGAAGCAAAAACCCGCGGAATCATAACCTGTCGTACAAACAGCCTACGTCAAGGCGAGAAATAACATGCTGCCTACGTCACAATTTGGTGATTTGGCGTGCGGAGGAAGGGGGGATTTGTTACATACAGGCCTTATGAGGATAGGGATAGGCCATCCTGTAAATAGTAGTAGTGTTTATCATCCTTGGGTTACAATATAGTTACAATGAACGTTGACTCGTCTTTGGTTGACACCCTTGTGACGTCACTACAGATACGTCTGTGTACAGATATCTCTCTTTTGTGTTGTCCTTCGTCTTGTTTGGGGAATTGAAAAACAGTTACCTACTACTGCAATAACTATTATTTATTTTTTAAGACATTTTTCCTGTTGCACATCAATATTTGGTCATTTTTATAATATAGTATGCTTTTAACATAAAAATAAATTATTTTATATACAAATAAATAGAAATAATTGTATAAACTTAACTCAAAACAAATACACCTGTCCATGTCATTTTGCGACAGATGTCAAGCGTCAAATAAAGCACGATCGTCTATTTTTGAGCCAATAAAACTTCGTCGGCAGCCTCCTTGACCTCCTTCCAAGACACATCGATATCTCTCTCTTCCGTATACCGCGAACAAATCGCTAACCGAAGAAAATAAACATCCCTAATCTTCGACGGTACCAAATGAATCACTCCACGGCCATTAATCCGCTTTAATAATGCCTCGCTGACGTCATTCGACCCCCTCAATCTGAAGCAAACCAACCCCATGAGCACTTCTTCGGTTATTTCAAATCGGTGATCACCGCGAACTAGATTTTCGAAATAGTGCGCAAGCGCAATGTGCTTACGAATGTGCGCCTGCAAGTGTTCGATACCGTACAGTCTGAGCACGAACCAAAGTTTCAGAGCTCTGAAACGACGACCCAACGGGATTTGCCAATGACGATAGTCTGGTGCTGAACCTGTAATAGACAAATAATGACGTATACTATGTTATGACAGATGTCGTTTTTTTTTTTACCTTGTTGATCGTGCTTGAGATATAAAGGATCTACGTTAAAAGCGTTTACAAGCCAAGTGGGATCTTTGAGCCACATTGCGGAACAGTCAAAATTGACTAGCAGCCATTTATGGGGGTTGAAATTGAAGGAATCTGCACGTTCGATGCCTTTCATTAGGTATCTGCAAAGAAATGTTGGTTAAATTTTACTTTGACTTAAGCAAAAGTTACCTAAATTCCGGACAAATAAATGAAGATCCAGCGTATGCGGCATCCACGTGCAACCAAACGTCATTTTCGTTGCACACCGGCCCTATTTCCTCCAACTTGTCAAACGTGCACGATGACGTCGTTCCTAAGGTGGCTACACACTAATAAACAAAAACATATATTGCATCTGTCAAATTTCGTGGCCTACTTACATAAAAAGGAATTAGGCCGGATTCGATGTCTTCTTTGATAGCCCGTTCTACAATGTCGCCTGTCAAACGGTTACTCGAGTCGGGTTCGAGCGACCGCAATTTGATGCCGCCCAACAGGCCCGCCCGTTCCACAGACGAATGACTTTGACCTGATAAACGAAATTTGATAATATAAATTTACAATTAAAAAATCTAGATCTTATTTGTTGCAGCAATGTATGACTATTAGTACATTCTCTTTGTATAAAGTTTGACTTTGACCTAAAACCAGTGAACGGCAACGACTTTAAGATTAATGTGCAAATGCGTAATTAATTTCAATCTTTGACCGTGTATTTTTTTGATTTTCTTATAATTTTGTAGCTTATTGGCAAGATTTTTGTCAAGTAGGCCATGTTAATTGAAGCAAAAATTATAAACGTGCCTCAATAAAAACTAAGCCACTTGGCAAAACGTGCTTCCAAAATAATAACTCACTTGAAGTGTATCCGACGAGTTTCGAAATAATGTCGGCCTCTTTAAGTTCGGGATGTTTCGTCTTGTATGCCGCGACGGCCTTGGATTTGGCGCCCAAAAGGGCGACAAGGGTCGCTTCGCTGGCGGTACCTTGGATGACGCCGCCCGCTTTACCGCCCGAACAGGCTAGAAAAACTTCGGGTAATCCTAGGGCTTTGCCCAACCAATCGAGCATCACCACTTCGAGTTCCGTACATGCTGGACTTGCGATCTAGAATATTAGGATTTCATTAAATAGTTGGCAACAATGGAGTTTTTATGTTTATGACAATTATACAGTGTATTAGACGGAAAAACTGATTTAAAGTATGAGGCTTTCTTGATTTTCTAACAAAAATTCCCAGTTTTAAATGCCATAATTAGCAAAATCCCATTTGAAATGCTTTTTCTAGAAGTTTTGATGTGGCATCACCACTTTTGGCCAAGACAAGAGGTTGACAGACGCAAGGATGATACACACTACTACTACTGGATAGAATATCCTCATAAGGCCTGTGTGTAACAAATCCCCCTCTACCCCCCTAGGCCAAACAACCAGTTGTGACGTAAGCAGCATGGCGTTTATCGCCTTGACGTAGACTGTTTAAACAGCTGACGACTTAGTTATGACGTCGGCAATGGTTGAAAATAATTAAAAACCAATATGGCGGTATTACCAAACACGAGGTCGATAAGCACTCCTTAGAGTGTGTATTCTCCTTGGACAGACGGCCATTTTTAATTGACGTGTTTACATTTTAATCCAGTTTTTTCTCGAATTTTTCGCTTTTCCAGGCCGGTTTCAGTCGGGAAAACTGGTTTAAAATACGAGGCTTTGAATTTCCTACGTTTTGTGCCAAAAATTTCTAGTTTTCCAAGGGGGTGAGTAACGAAAGCTCAAGTTTTATCAAGTAGGCTTTAGAATGTGATTTTGGATGATTTTTCTTTGAATTTTCCGCTTTTCCAGGCCGTTATCGAGCGGGAAAACTGATTCAAAGTACGAGGCTTTGGGTTTTCTCAATTTTCCAGCAAAAGTTTTCTGTTTTAAATGCCATAATTAGCAAAATCCCATTTGAAATTCTTTTTATGAAAGTTTTAATGTGGTAACACCATTTGTGACCAACTTCACGAGGTTGACAGTCGGCCATTTTTAATTGACGTGTTTACATTTTAATCCAGTTTTTTCTCGAATTTTTCGCTTTTCCAGGCCGGTTTCAGTCGGGAAAACTGGTTTAAAATACGAGGCTTTGAATTTCCTACGTTTTGTGCCAAAAATTTCTAGGTTTCCAAGGGGGTGAGTAACGAAAGCTCAAGTTTTATCAAGTAGGCTTTAGAATGTGATTTTGGATGATTTTTCTTTGAATTTTCCGCTTTTCCAGGCCGTTATCGAGCGGGAAAACTGATTCAAAGTACGAGGCTTTGGGTTTTCTCAATTTTCCAGCAAAAGTTTTCTGTTTTAAATGCCATAATTAGCAAAATCCCATTTGAAATTCTTTTTATGAAAGTTTTAATGTGGTAACACCATTTGTGACCAACTTCACGAGGTTGACAGTCGGCCATTTTTAATTGACGTGTTTACATTTTAATCCAGTTTTTTCTCGAATTTTTCGCTTTTCCAGGCCGTTTTCAGTCGGGAAAACTGGTTTAAAATACGAGGCTTTGAATTTCCTACGTTTTGTGCCAAAAATTTCTAGTTTTCCAAGGGGGTGAGTAACGAAAGCTCAAGTTTTATCAAGTAGGCTTTAGAATGTGATTTTGGATGATTTTTCTTTGAATTTTCCGCTTTTCCAGGCCGTTATCGAGCGGGAAAACTGATTCAAAGTACGAGGCTTTGGGTTTTCTCAATTTTCCAGCAAAAGTTTTCTGTTTTAAATGCCATAATTAGCAAAATCCCATTTGAAATTCTTTTTATGAAAGTTTTAATGTGGTAACACCATTTGTGACCAACTTCACGAGGTTGACAGTCGGCCATTTTTAATTGACGTGTTTGCATTTTAATCCAGATTTTCCTCGAATTTTCCGCTTTTCCAGGCCGTTTTCAGTCGGGAAAACTGGTTTAAAATACGAGGCTTTGAATTTCCTACATTTTGTGCCAAAAATTTCTAGTTATCCAAGGGGGTGAGTAACGAAAACTCAAATTTTATCAAGTAGGCTTTAGAATGTTATTTTGGCTGGTTTTTCTTTGGATTTTCCGCTTTTCCAGGCCGTTATCAAGCGGGAAAACTGATTCAAATTATGAGGCTTTGAGTTTTCTCAATTTTCTAGCAAAAATTTCCTGTTTTAAATGCCATAATTAGCAAAATCCCATTTGAAATTCTTTTTATGAAAGTTTTGATGTGGTAACACCATTTGTGACCAACTTCACAAGGTTGACAGTCGGCCATTTTTAATTGACGTGTTTATATTTTATCCAGTTTTTCCTCGAATTTTTCGCTTTTCCAGGCCGCTTTCAGTCGGGAAAACTGGTTTAAAATACGAGGCTTTGAATTTCCTACATTTTGTGCCAAAAATTTCTAGTTTTCCAAGGGGGTGAGTAACGAAAACTCAAATTTTATCAAGTAGGCTTTAGAATGTTATTTTGGCTGGTTTTTCTTTGGATTTTCCGCTTTTCCAGGCCGTTATCAAGCGGGAAAACTGATTCAAATTATGAGGCTTTAAGTTTTCTCAATTTTCTAGGAAAAATTTCCTGTTTTAAATGCCATAATTAGCAAAATCCCATTTGAAATTCTTTTTATGAAAGTTTTGATGTGGTAACACCATTTGTGACCAACTTCACAAGGTTGACAGTCGGCCATTTTTAATTGACGTGTTTATATTTTATCCAGTTTTTCCTCGAATTTTTCGCTTTTCCAGGCCGCTTTCAGTCGGGAAAACTGGTTTAAAATACGAGGCTTTGAATTTCCTACATTTTGTGCCAAAAATTTCTAGTTTTCCAAGGGGGTGAGTAACGAAAACTCAAATTTTATCAAGTAGGCTTTAGAATGTTATTTTGGCTGGTTTTTCTTTGGATTTTCCGCTTTTCCAGGCCGTTATCAAGCGGGAAAACTGATTCAAATTATGAGGCTTTAAGTTTTCTCAATTTTCTAGGAAAAATTTCCTGTTTTAAATGCCATAATTAGCAAAATCCCATTTGAAATTCTTTTTATGAAAGTTTTGATGTGGTAACACCATTTGTGACCAACTTCACAAGGTTGACAGTCGGCCATTTTTAATTGACGTGTTTATATTTTATCCAGTTTTTCCTCGAATTTTTCGCTTTTCCAGGCCGCTTTCAGTCGGGAAAACTGGTTTAAAATACGAGGCTTTGAATTTCCTACATTTTGTGCCAAAAATTTCTAGTTTTCCAAGGGGGTGAGTAACGAAAACTCAAATTTTATCAAGTAGGCTTTAGAATGTTATTTTGGCTGGTTTTTCTTTGGATTTTCCGCTTTTCCAGGCCGTTATCAAGCGGGAAAACTGATTCAAATTATGAGGCTTTAAGTTTTCTCAATTTTCTAGGAAAAATTTCCTGTTTTAAATGCCATAATTAGCAAAATCCCATTTGAAATTCTTTTTATGAAAGTTTTGATGTGGTAACACCATTTGTGACCAACTTCACAAGGTTGACAGTCGGCCATTTTTAATTGACGTGTTTATATTTTATCCAGTTTTTCCTCGAATTTTTCGCTTTTCCAGGCCGCTTTCAGTCGGGAAAACTGGTTTAAAATACGAGGCTTTGAATTTCCTACATTTTGTGCCAAAAATTTCTAGTTTTCCAAGGGGGTGAGTAACGAAAACTCAAATTTTATCAAGTAGGCTTTAGAATGTTATTTTGGCTGGTTTTTCTTTGGATTTTCCGCTTTTCCAGGCCGTTATCAAGCGGGAAAACTGATTCAAATTATGAGGCTTTAAGTTTTCTCAATTTTCTAGGAAAAATTTCCTGTTTTAAATGCCATAATTAGCAAAATCCCATTTGAAATTCTTTTTATGAAAGTTTTAATGTGGTAACACCATTTGTGACCAACTTCACGAGGTTGACAGTCAGCCATTTTTAATTGACGTGTTTACATTTTAATCCAGTTTTTTCTCGAATTTTTCGCTTTTCCAGGCCGGTTTCAGTCGGGAAAACTGGTTTAAAATACGAGGCTTTGAATTTCCTACATTTTGTGCCAAAAATTTCTAGTTTTCCAAGGGGGTGAGTAACGAAAGCTCAAGTTTTATCAAGTAGGCTTTAGAATGTGATTTTGGATGATTTTTCTTTGAATTTTCCGCTTTTCCAGGCCGTTATCGAGCGAGAAAACTGATTCAAAGTACGAGGCTTTGGGTTTTCTCAATTTTCCAGCAAAAGTTTTCTGTTTTAAATGCCATAATTAGCAAAATCCCATTTGAAATTCTTTTTATGAAAGTTTTAATGTGGTAACACCATTTGTGACCAACTTCACGAGGTTGACAGTCGGCCATTTTTAATTGACGTGTTTACATTTTAATCCAGTTTTTTCTCGAATTTTTCGCTTTTCCAGGCCGTTTTCAGTCGGGAAAACTGGTTTAAAATACGAGGCTTTGAATTTCCTACGTTTTGTGCCAAAAATTTCTAGTTTTCCAAGGGGGTGAGTAACGAAAGCTCAAGTTTTATCAAGTAGGCTTTAGAATGTGATTTTGGATGATTTTTCTTTGAATTTTCCGCTTTTCCAGGCCGTTATCGAGCGGGAAAACTGATTCAAAGTACGAGGCTTTGGGTTTTCTCAATTTTCCAGCAAAAGTTTTCTGTTTTAAATGCCATAATTAGCAAAATCCCATTTGAAATTCTTTTTATGAAAGTTTTAATGTGGTAACACCATTTGTGACCAACTTCACGAGGTTGACAGTCGGCCATTTTTAATTGACGTGTTTGCATTTTAATCCAGATTTTCCTCGAATTTTCCGCTTTTCCAGGCCGTTTTCAGTCGGGAAAACTGGTTTAAAATACGAGGCTTTGAATTTCCTACATTTTGTGCCAAAAATTTCTAGTTATCCAAGGGGGTGAGTAACGAAAACTCAAATTTTATCAAGTAGGCTTTAGAATGTTATTTTGGCTGGTTTTTCTTTGGATTTTCCGCTTTTCCAGGCCGTTATCAAGCGGGAAAACTGATTCAAATTATGAGGCTTTGAGTTTTCTCAATTTTCTAGCAAAAATTTCCTGTTTTAAATGCCATAATTAGCAAAATCCCATTTGAAATTCTTTTTATGAAAGTTTTGATGTGGTAACACCATTTG